AACAACGTGCGCTGTGTGTTCATCATTTATTGGTATGTCTAACCATTGTATGAGGTTCCCGTTCTAAATCGCTAAAAATTGGGAACCTGGCTTATATCTCCTAGAAAATTTTTAAAGTAAATTTATTAATATTAATAGATACCAGGGGACTAAACACTTGTATTTAAATTGAAAATTCCTAGTATCTATTAATATTAATTTCAAATTTACTTTAAAAATTTTCTAGGAGATATAAGCCAGGTTCCCAATTTTTAGCGATTTTTGTTTTAGCGATTTAGAACCTATCTCTTGTATGATGTTGCTATAAATCAACTTTAACGATCGTCCCCCATCCAATGGTTTAAAGTAAAAAATAAATTAGGTGGGAAATATTTTATATTCATTCTTAGCACGTTGGCCTACAAACTCGTCTCGATAAGTCACGTGTAGCAGCAAAGGAAGTGAACAATTTTTAAAATGCTTTGTTGACGAAAATAAAAATTAGATAAACCTCATTTAAAATAATCAAAATGATTGGTAAATATTTAAATTTAAATGCATAAGATTTAAAAAAAAAATAGATGATAAAATAAATATTTTGAGTTTATTTCCCATAAAAAAAATTTGCACGGCCCTGATTTTTTAAGGTTCGTTACCACAAGCGCATCGGGAGCGGACTTGAGGGCCTGTCTGTCTAACTACATATTAGAATATTTGGTTTTTTTTAAAGCAACTATTAAAAATTTTGATAAATAGATAACAAATCAATTCTTTTTTTATTTTGACTAATCGGTTATTGATTTATACAAAAAAAAATCATTTTTATCGATTTTTCCATAATTTTGATCGGCGACACACTATATTTATCCATAAAATGGAGTCGCATATTACATAAGAAATAACTATAGTGCGTAGCGTTTTAAAACGGCGCTTTGCAAACGCAAATGGCATAGAATTTGTTAAAAAAATTTTTTTCGTAATTTTGAATAATTTTGACCCTATTTTTACAAATAGTTTCAAAGAGAAATCGAAAACGATCTATTTTACATTTTCAGCTGTTAGGCCCGGATTGAACCTTTTTTAAACCCGGCCCGAGTTTTTAAAACCGTACTCTGTTTTGGCCGGTTGATATTATGAATATTTATGTTTTATTTTTTATAAAGTACATTTCGCTATAAATTATATTGAGAAAATTTATCATTTTTAATTGGATTTTATTTTTATATATTTTAAATTACTTTTTCTTCTGCTTCTTCTTCATCTTTTTTTTCTCGCACTAGGAAAAAGAGAAATTAATTTATTAACTTGTTAATTTTTAACATGATTTATTTATATATAATTTTTTATATAATTAAATTTTTTTTCTTCTTACATCTTTTTGTTTGTCTAATAAATTAACAAAATATTTTGTATTTTTACAAATAGTTTTTTAGATTTTTTTTCAGTGACTGTTGGATCGAAATTAAAAGGATTAATAATATAATTTAGATTACACAATTTCAGGAAGTGATTAATTATCGCGAAATAATGAGGCCTGTATTAATGTAAGTGATCAAATTAAGAAGGATAGAAATAATGTGTGATTTAAGGTTCAGGATAAGTTCATATCTTAGCGTCCTAACCGTTGAGATGCGTTTATTTTAAGGGATATCAAGTCAGACCGTCGCAAGATATTATTTCCTTAAAATACATTTAGCATAAAAAAAGATATTCTGATATGATTAAAATGGGTGTTACTTGTAAATAGATATTTGACAAAGTCGTAAAAAAAAGAAAATTAAAAAATAATTTGTCCATTTTAAAAATGATAGCTCAATTTTTTTAAAAAAGTTTTGAATCTATCCAACCAAACACCTTAGGTATATTTTTATTACATTTTCAGAAATATTTTCTTTATTATTGGATATTTATCAAGTATGCTTCGAATGACGAATCTCGAAGATATTGAGGTTTGAAACTCAATATTCTTAAAAATCGGATGTTGAATTTTGAGGATCAACAAAAATAGATAACCCATCATTATTTACTTCCGCATCACTAACTAGAACTGAAAAATGAGACCTTTTTGCATTCTAATGAGATCTTCCCATTAATTGATAATTCTTCCACACTTCTAATTTTGTCTGAATGAATTCCCAATACTACTTTGTAATATAGGTGGGAAAACTAAAAATGCCGCATTACATTCCAAGTTTAAAATCTAACATTTTATCCAAAACCAATTAAGGTAGCATTAAGTAAAAGGTAAACGATACTGCAGTGAGTCACTTTTAAGTAAAATACATTGTCGAGCTATAAATATTATTGGAACTCGCCTTGTAATCTGTTTTAGAGCGATTTTTAGAGGAAACATTTTAACACATTTCTATAAAATCAAATCAAATTCAATTCTTTTTTTTTAAACATGCAAGGTTGAACTTTAAAAAAAACCATGGTAAATTTTTTTGTTTTCTTTTAGTATCATTGGCCATAGCTTCACGAAGACTGTTCCATCGCTTGATATACGGAATCTTTAGACAGGGGCGTCACTAACCTTTACAATCTCAGTGAGCTCTAAAAAAATTCAAATTTCGGGGGTGGGGCTCGAGCCCGTACGCGCCCCTGACCCTACTGCCTTTAGATAAATTATATTATGTGCATATATACCTAATTTTGCTTGAATTATTAAAATTAATAAGTTAATTTTCATGATGATTTCAATTTTATGAGAATTTTTTGACGTAGTATCACTCCATTTTTCATAATCAGTATAATTCTTCTAATAAATAAACTTCTTTGTATTTCGTAAATTAATTTCATTAATCATTATATCAAATATTCATTTATTTATTTATAATAATAATAATACTTAACAAAATTGAGGGGGATTTAAAAAAATATAAATATTATATTATACGACATACACTATATAATGATTGTGACTATTGCTAAGGATTAAAATTTCTATTAATAAAATAAAATGTTTATTAGATATCAAGAAAAATATAAATTGCACGAGGTTAAAAAAATGGTATGTATGACTTATATCTATAAATGCAGATTCAAAAAAATATATATATATTGCTTATTAAAATCATAGGAAATGTAAAATGATTAGTTATAATATGCTTAAAATTTCTATAAATTGATTTTAAGTTTATATCGCCTTTTCCATTTCTATTAATACATTTTAATAGTAGTGATTTGGTAGGGAGATTCTCTCTGTATATATTAAATCTAAGACTAGTCCTTAACATCTTCAATTAAGAAATTGACCTCTCATTAATGTATACGAGGTAAAGGTAAGAGTGCTGATATCAACACATTTTTAACAATAATCAGATGGGAAATATTTCTTATTTATTTCGTAGTAAATAGAATAAAAATAGAATTGACATCATTGAGTCATCAAAGTTATTAGGGTTCCGAAATTTAAAATGGTTTGGTTGGACATTTTGGGACCACAGACTAAATAGAGACCGATTTATAGATCTCCCATCGAACCCGGGGTAATATTGACCCAAAGCGGGTTCAGCCGGTTCCGATTAGGTCTGTTATCAAAATTTCAGGCTAAATAAAGTTTAAAATTCCTGAACCAACCCTAATTAGGGTTCAAAGCCATAATAAGGAATAAAATAAATATTTTGAGCTTGAGATTATATTCTATTTCCATTTATAAATAAAAAATTAATTTCTTAAAGGCCGTCCGCTCTATTTTTTGATGCTGCCTTTAAACTCTAAAACGCTACTTTTTTGTTCGCGTCATTATGACATGTGATTTGTTATCCTTTAGTATAAACATTTAAAGTAGTACATAAAATTAAAAATAATAAAATGAACGATAATCTGAATTATTAATCAAGCGTAAATTGAAACTTATATTAGTGATATTAAATGATATTTTACTCTTACAATAAAATGTCTAAATAGGTCTTATTGGATCACTTCTTTTACTTCGCGTTTTAATTGCAAAACTATTTTTTTGCCCTCGTCATATTTAAAAGGATTATTTTTGAATGTATTAAATGAAAGCTTATTATGTTAGTTTGGATTTTGAGATACTTCAACAATTGACAAAAAAAATTTTTGGCCTAAGAAATATTCTTTAATAGAAAAAACCTTTTACAGAGCTATGTCCAAAACATCAAAAAATTGAATTCATAAACTTTCGAAACTTTAATGAAAATAGATAAATTAGCTATTTTAAATATAAAGATAAAAAAAACATGACTAACCCGGACCCAAACCCTCGTATTTTGGCTGTACCCGGACCCTAGACCCGGGTTCTTTTCAAATTTATTCATGTACCCGAACCCTGACCTAGACCCTTTTTTTGTCTAAGGGTTCACATCCCTGCTAAAAACATAGTTCATTTAATTCATAAAAATTTAACTACGATTTCTTTAAAATTTTAGAAGTTTTGAAACTTTTCAAATTTTTTTTAAAATGCACGTTCAACTTAAATATTACATAAAATAATAATCTCTATTTTTATCATTATCTATTTAATTATCGCTGTGAAGAATCAGCTGTTATTATTTCGATAGCATTAAATAACGCAACGCTTAAAGATAACGCGTTTACTATAAATGCAGCGTAAGGCTTAGTGAAATTCTTTTATTTTAACATAGCGTTTATAAAGCCGCGTCAATTTATTGCCTATCTTTTAACCCACCCGATTTTTCGAGCTAAAACGCAGCGTTAAAGAAGTAAGTTAAGATGACCTCATTTAATAATAATTAAGATTGGATTTTAATTGCTTATCTCAAACTTAATAGTATTACTAAACAATTGATTTTTGATTTGACGTCATTTTGTAGTATATTTACGTTATACGCTTCGATTTGACAAATACTGAAAAAATATTTAATTATATAAATTATTATCTTTTTAGTTGTGCATAAATTTTAAACGTTGCGTCATCTTCTTAGCGTAAACACTTATCAAGATTTAATTTACACCTACGTATTTATTCTCGTTATCTATTTTCATATTTTAATTTATTTGTAAGAAATTTATGTTTGTATTTCATAACGATAAAGAGTTAATAGTTCGGTCTTCTCAAACAAATTAACAAAAGCAGACGAGATTCTTCCAGAAAACAAAATATACACGTAGAAAAATAATTATTTATCATCCATCTAACACGAAAAATAATAATAAAATATACATCCGAAATATTGTTATAACAATTATTAAAAATGGCGCAAGGCTCGGAAAACAGATGGCAGAAGGATGCGGCAGATCAGAATTTCGATTACATGTTCAAGATTCTTATTATAGGTAATAGTAGCGTAGGTAAAACTTCGTTCTTATTTCGTTATGCCGACGATTCCTTCACTTCCGCTTTTGTATCAACTGTTGGGATCGATTTCAAAGTCAAGACTATATTCCGACACGATAAACGGATCAAGCTTCAGATATGGGTTAGTTTTTTTTCTTTCTTTCTTCTGGATTTTTAAAATTAGGAAATTATTATGAGGGGGGGGGGGGTGAGTGGCTGATCTATTTTTTAAATAATAGTAATGAGAGGAACTTCGGAATTAGTGATTCTAAAGCTGGAATCTCGAGGTGATTATTATGTTAAATCACTCAGAGGTAAGGTTAGGTTTATAATAAACTCCAAAATACCGCGATGTCTCGATTAATTTTACAAAATACATAATGTTAAATTATACAGCTATGCTATTGTTTAGCGATGAATATGCTAGTACGCACAAATTGAGCGTTTACGTTTTGCCATAATTTTTAAATAAAAAAAACGTAACGCGTCCCTTGTTTAAATTTAGGTTGACTTTTATTAATATCCGTCGATTCAATATAAGTTCTAGACAAAAAGGAGTTGTCTTTGAAATTTATATTATCGTCTGCGTTCTTATTTCTTTAATTTCTGAATTTTCTTTTTTAGGATATAAGTAAGTTATTTATATTAAATTTTATATAATATTACAAAACAAAACGAAGAATAAAAAAAGTATTAAAAAAAGAAACCTGTTTGCGTTTTTCTAAATGGATGATAACGCCAAACGGTAATTTACCAATTTTGCACGAGGCCATTTGAAATGTTTTATTTGCGCATGCAACACAGCGTTTGAGATACTAAAATTATGCGCACTATAGCGATGAATTAGTCATCGTATGGGTAACATCGCGGCATTTCGCGCTAAACGAGGCCGAATATTTACAATTTCATGAAATTTATTAAATAAAATATAGAGATAAAAAGAATTGTAAGTTTATGATTTTAAAAATCGAATAATTGACTAAAATCGATAAACTTTGTCTTCTCTCTTTTTTTATAGCCACTTAGTTGTTTATATATATAGGTTATATATATATTGTTGTTTATATATATATATATATAATATAACATTATTTGATTGTTTTTATCAAATTACTTTCTTTTTAGTTTGAAAATGAAGTCCGGAAGAACATATTTGTAATAATTCGTATTATTATTTTTTTATTAACAATTTATTTTCTAACCTCTCTAACATTAAGTAAAGTTTTTATGTTCTCGGATAATAAGCTCGAATTCATAATTGGGTCTATGGCTTAACTACGATTTTCCGACTACTATTGCGCTCGCAGAAACATCACTTAAAAATCTTTAAAAAAAATACATGGAAGTAAAAGCATATAACTAAGAACTTTATCTTTTGAAATTACTTACGTTATCAGGGGGCATAGAAGTTTAATAAACATTATGCGGGCGGATAGGTTTAATTATAAAAAAAACTATCGGTGCGGAATGATTGACGGTTTTGAAATATGAACCGAACTTATTGCCGAATTCACCTTTAACTGAACAGTTTTACGATCAAAACCCAATATGGCAAAAAATAAATTGGTGGGTTCCAAGCGGGTGGTGATACACTATTACCAACAAACTTAGGTGACCAATGAAAAAAATAATAAAGCCAAAAATATCTGCGCATTAATTTAATTTGTAATAAAATTGTTAAAATCTCTGGGGTGCAGATATATCACAAAATCTCTCAAGGGTTAATAGCTCCAAAATATCTATTATTTATTTTGAATATTAAATCGTGCCATTATTATCATTCAGATTTTAAATTATCAAAAATAAAAAAACATAATCTAATCATCGAAAATTATGCAGAAAATTTTTCTGGAACCAATGATTAATTTAAAACATCTAAATGTATTTATTCTGCGAAAATGAATTTATTATATGTAAAACGTTATAATCCTTAAATTAAGATATTTCAAATTAATAGGGTTGAAAGGGGCAATTTCTTACTTATATCTTTTAAATATAATTACTTTAAAATATATAAACATTGTATCTTTAAAAAACCTTTTATTAATGTCAATTTAAACCTCTTCTCACTATTCCTCTAATCCAAGGACGTTGAGACCACCCCCTCCAAAGGCCCTAGATAAGCTCGGCAGTCAACACCCCCCCCCCCTTTAACCACCCGTCCAAACAATGTAACTTATTTTAATCGGCAAACAAAACCTATTAAAAATCCTAATAATTCCGTCAATGCGGTTTTAGCAGATTTGGCAATTCTCAAGATTTGTTTTTTACTTTCTCTTCTCACTTTTTTTTCAGGCAATCTGTGTTCAACACCTTGTTAATTTTTTGCCAATATCGATAAAATTATTTTTCACTCTTTATAAATTTGATATAGGATGGAAATTTTTTTTGTTTATTTTTTTAAGTTTCAACAATTTAAATTTTTTACTCGTTATTATAACGACGTAACTCCCTACTTAATCATTCTAGGGTTAATACATCTTGAGCATTTTTGAACGAAGACAAGTTTTGATTAACTTAAGACAAGAAAAAATAGGCTCGGCACTTGTTACTAATTAGGATGTAAATTAGTGATCTGCAGTGATAAAGTTTCTCTACCTTTAGAATTAAAAAAATCTGAAATATTATAAATAGTTCCTATAGCGTATCACAAAATCAGAGTAATAAAACCGAAAATTACTCAAAAAAAATGAATTATCCTAACGGCCTTGACCACCTCCCAAACATTTGAAGGTTAATACACCCTTTAGATGTTTACCAAGTTACATGTTCTTATAATAAAATATGCGAAGATCTCTGTCGAAAAGAGCATGAATATCGCAGAAAACCTCTGCCCTTGCGCGGGCGCATAAATATTCATCATAATAATTTCAATAATTATCTTGTCACTTGACAAGGAAAAAAAAATTCCTTAAAAGATTAATTAGAGAAAGGGTGTAGATAGCCAAAAGAAAAAGTGGAAGAACAACGATTTAATCAGGGAAGATGGTTATAATCCACTTGGCTAATGGAAAAACTTATCATCCTATACCTTAACATTAGTATTTTTATAACATCATTTTTTTTGTCTAAATTTTTATTTCCTTGATAATGATAACTAAATATGTTATCAAAACGCTTATAATAAATATAAATTTTCTATAAGTGCATATTGCCGTTATAATAAATATATTTTATTTTATACACTTTATTATTATTTTTCACTATTTTGAATATTTATTTGTTTTAATTTTTAAGGATAATAAGGGCAATGTATACTACTAGTTTATCGATTCATTCATTAAATGCATTTAAAAATGTCCAGCTGTAGCTCCATTTCGTGGTTTGTATGACGTTTAAAATACATTAGCGTGCGTTCATATAATCATAAATAAAGACAATTAGTTGAAGTGCATACTACAAAATGGCGCTACAGCTGCATCCTATATATGAACACTATTAATTAATGAATCGCCAATCTAGTAGGTTATATACATCATTGGATAAGGGTGAGTCGAGATGCATAACTAATAATACTTTTAATATTTTAAAGGTATTTTTTTTCATTATTAAATTTAGGTCCTGTCTACTTTGTTACTGTTCTTATTTTATTTTAAGTAACATATTTATTAAATTTAATTAAATATATATTTTTTTTAAATTTAAGCTTTTAATGTTATTTTTATATAGTTTTTTATATATGGGTTATTTTATAAATAGTTTTAAAAAAAAGGAGTTAATAGCAGTATAATATAATTAACTAAAGGATATAAATACAGTAGAGTACTGCCTTAATTTAGTAATCGTTGGCGCCTGGATTTTTGTCCCAACCCAGACAGTTATCCAATTTTAAACATCTGCCGGCACCTCTTGTGCTTTAAAGCCGGCACCTATATTAACCATATTACACTAAGATGATCCTGTAATTGATTATTGTTAAGTAATTGCGTTTCTTTTCCTTTTACTATCATTTAAAAAAATGAAAACGGATAAAACAATTAGCGCGCTACTTTTTGAAAGTAACGTTTCGTTTAATAACACTGACTTTACTTTGTGGGAAACAATGATCTTTACGACTTAGAATCGGCTCGCGCTCAGCCAGGAATTTCGCATATTTTTAAAAAAAATATATACTGAATATTGAAAATTTATGTTAATATGAGTCGGGCTAAAGAAAGAAATTTATGGGAGTAGGCAATTATAACTTTTCAATCTTGATGGGTACATCTAATATCAAAGTTGAGTATATCGAAATTTCGACAATAATTTTTTTTTAACTCTGCATAGCGCTAATTAAAAATTTTATTAACATTTTTTTTTAAAAAAATCCGATTTATTTGTTTAGACAACTGGAATTTTTTTTAAGGTAAATTACGAATCGCATAATATAAAATAATATATATTTAAAAAGATTGTTTTTTTTTGTAACTGTAAAGATCAAAATTTATAGATTTTTGAACCCTTTCCATACAAGATTTTATATTTACAGAAATTGCTTTACTTTTAGCCAAGAATTATCATCTCAGCCTTTGGAGTTTTTTAAAAAAATTAAAATATGGCTCACTATTTTATGCTTGTTAAACAACGGTTGTTAAACACAGTATCTATGCCGGCCATTTTTTTTGTTAAAAATATTATTTCAACCTTGAAACTAGCGTTTCAATATTTTATCAATCACCTAAATATACTAGGTAGTAGGATGATTGCGCTATTGATATCTTTGATCCGCGAATATTATTATTTTTTTCAAAAAATCTTTCGATATTGATTTTAGAATAATATAAAATACTGTATAATTATGCACACGAATTGAGCGCTTCAAACGTTGCGTTTGCTAACGTAAATAATGTATTTCGAATGGCATAGTTCAAAAAATATTTTTAAACTTAACGCAAACTGGTTTGTATTTTTCATTACTTATTTTATTCATTCATTTTGCACTTTGGTTAACTGAGTTTTTTCTCAAGAAAGAATGCCCACAATATCTGGTATGACTAAACTGTAAATGCTTAAGTAAACTGCAAATGCTTAGGTATAAATTTCTATTAATATAAGTGAGATTAATTTTCTTATGATATAAATTAAATTATTAGATAAATTCAATAATAAAGGAATATACATCAATAAAGTGTATTTCCTTTTATCTCATAATTAGTGCTGTTT